TCCAATACCTTCACCTACTGTTGGCCATTTTACAAGTAAACTTTTTGTTCAATAAAATGTGTATGTTCTTAGCAAGTAGTCAATTCAGAACTTAATAAAGTACCTTCTCCTATCTATTTATTTATTCACCACTGATCAAATCTCCATATAGTAGGGTACTATGATATTTTAGCATGTTTTATATGACAACTGTAGCCAGGCATGCTCTTAACCAGCTGAAACATATGGTCCATACGTATTGGCAAGTCAAACCATGGTAAGCTTGCTTCGGACAACATTTTTCTACTGAATGTCTAGTTAGGCAGATGGTTGAATTCACATATCCAGCTCATAATAAAAGGATATAGAACCCTTCATAATATGTCGTATTAATTAAAAAAATAGTCCTTAAATCCAAACTGAAAAAAATTATAAACAGTGAGACGTGACACTTAAGGTTTTTGTGGTTTAAATGTATCTAGAATACTTAAAACTCACAGCTAAAGATAACATGGCGAAGAAAAAAAAATTCTAAGTTGCAAAGCCTGTTTAGATATTTTGTACATACAAGAATAATAGTTGCAGACCCATGAAAAAACTAATAAATTGTTGATAAGAAATAATTTATTTAGAATCTTTCTATACACGGGCAGGTTGGAATACAAGCAAACCTATGTTTGCGTCAAACAACCAATCATGTTCCAAGGAATTTAACATTTTAATATCCTTTTCATCTGTACAGCAGTTTAAAATTAACAGAGGTTTGCTAAGCAGGTGATTACTAGGGAATTATCTAAGTATGCATGACTATATGGTTACAATGCCTTACTTTATGTTAAAAAAAAAGGCCAAAAAGGCCAATAAAAGATATGTTAAAAATGAGCTAGGTTTAGGGCCTGGCCATGATGTCCTAAAAAGACCTGCTTTCAGCAGCAAAACACAGACCTAAAATGCACACAATAGCTGTAAGCAATGAATGTTAGTGACTTCTAACTATAAAGAGCTGGGCAGAGACAATTACCAAATACAAATCTTACATCATCTCATTATTATGATGAAGTCTTAAAACAATATCTCCAAGGTCCAGACTGTACAATTTAGTAAACAGGAACGTACCAAATTTGACATCACTGATTAAGGCCAGGCATTTCTAACGCTTCATACACATTTCTGAAATCCACAATACATCAATTTTTAATAATTCCACTCTCTCAGCTCCATTAAAAAGATGGTAGGGGAAAGATTTTAGAGTAATTAATGATATAGTTAGCTGCTAAATATTAATAGGAATCGTAGTTCTGCATAAAATATAACATATAAACCTTGCCAATACAGACACAGCAGTAATTAAAGTTGAATATGTAATTACGCTGATTTATAAGACAGGGAAAAAGTTACACTTTTCCAGGCTCTGTGTAAACCATTGGTAATAGTTAAAGTTGTATTTTATGGTTTTAATAAAAGGGCAATGCACTTAATTTAGTGCAAGTTCAGAGCTGGTTTGAAGATCATAATCAGTCAGATAATGACCATGTACAATTCAGGGTACTTTTATGGATATTGACTCAATAAGGAGGATTTTCTGCTTTCACATCCCTCATAGTTATAGCAGTAGGACGTTTATAAATATAATGTGTCCTTTAAGGATTACATTTAGACATCCTGCAAATGGGTTTTTAGCAAAATGGAGATGTATTTACATAATTTGTAATACACAATAAATGGAATTTACATGATCAACTAGCCAGCAAATCAAGCTGCATTTTGGAGCATAATATTCTACATTTCAGTTCCATGAACATCACAGTAGTGGAATGTCTGCTAATAAGCTGTGTTATACTGTATGTTTAATGTGTAATTATCAACACCTATCACTATATTTCCTGTGTGCTATCTACAGGTAGCTATAATTGCTTTTTCAGTATAAATTATTGTAGATATAATAATGCTAATAATAAATTTAGTAAAAGGGGATTGATGTGAATGCAAATTGCGAACAATGAATGAAATAATGAACAGAAGCTTCATAGAGGTGAAAGAAGAACTACATACATATTGGAATGAAACAAATGGCCGTAATAGAACGTCTTTGAAAGAAATAATTCTTTTTTTCTGATCGAAAGGTCAGATACTAACCCCTAATCAGTATATTGTGCATGTGCAACATAAATAAATATTATTTCCCTGTTAAAAAGATGTTTATGTGATAGAATTGCATTTTACATGTACAGTATTTGTAAATTCTGTGTAAAATTATCTACCTTTCTTTTTCCTTGCTAAGGCAATAAAATAACTCCCACTTACACAAAGTGTGCTGTTGTGAAGCTAACTAATATTGTATTGTTTCCTCTTTTGGTATGAGAAGATGAATGGTTCTGCAATGGTTTGTGCAAATAGATATTGTGTTGCTTGAGGTTTAAACATATCTAGCCCTGGACAAAGGTTACCAAGTTTATTAGTAACAAATTTGGATCACCTAACATTTGTAGCCTTCTATAGTGTATAATGGGTCACTATGGTGACATAGACATCCCCTCATCATTGAGAACATTGGTTACACTGTTGCTGTTTTATGCCAAATAGTTTTTGCTTTTCAATAGAAAAATGATAGACCCCTGGAAATAGCAGAGTGGCAGGGTCTAGTCAACAGAATGCTACCCCTCTATAAGTTTACATACAAAACTATGGGTGTGGCCAGAGGATGCCCCCACTCCTCTGGCCACACCCATTGCAGGGTGGGTTAATATACATATAATATATATAGTTGAACCGGATTGTTGAGGTGAGTAATTGAGCTGACCGGAACTCAGTACCCGCCCCCGCCCCCCCCTGACCGGAACTCAGTAC